AGGACTTTGTCGGGGTTCTGTGCTGGACAGTGGTGCCAGCTGCTCACTAATCCCACAGCATGTCGACCACCCACCCGCAGCTACCCTCCCATCTCCCGCCACGGCTTTCCGCGGTTCGGGCCTGGTCACCTACCTACTCCTCCGGGGCCCATTGTTCCCACTTGTATTGACATTTGAATACACCTCACATATTTGATTACATTTTCCTAAGAAGCCCTTTCTTTTTCTCTAGGTCTTTAATTTTACTTGTAGAGTTATACAAAGTGAAATCATTAAATGAAATTTCCTTTTTAAAATAGTTTAATTTTCTTCCAATTTTATTTTTACCTCCTTTTTTAAAAATATTTTTTCTAGTTGTTGATGGACTTTATTTCTATTTTATTTATTTATATGTGGTGCTGAGAATCGAACCCAGTGCCTCACACATGAGAGGCGAGTGCTCTCCCTGCGAGCCCCGGCCCTGGCCTACTTTTTTCATTCTGTGCTGGGTCTTGTTTGCTCTCTCTCTCTCTTTACCAGGCTCATGAGAGACGCATCTCTCTGGCGAGTCCCGGGACCGGCTCTGGGACTTCTTCATGCTTTCTGTGGCTCAGTGGCTCTGCTTTCTGTTTATCTTTTACCTCCGTCATTCTCATCTGTAGGTCAGTTTTCTGTCACTGTGACAACATACCTGAGAAAAGCAACTTAAAAGATAGAAGGACTTATTTTGGCTCCTGGTTTCAGACATTTCAGTCCCTGCTGTGTGGCCCCAGCACCATGGGCCTGTGGTGGGACAGGACATCATGGCGGACCGCTCGTGGTAGAACAGGGCTGCTCATGCCGCCAGCAGAGGGAGAGGAAGAGAGAAGACGTGGTCCCTAAGGGCATGTCCCCCCAGGACCCACTCCCTCCAATCCCACCGCCTGTAGCCTCCACCACCTCCCAGTGGTTCCTTCAGCTATGAATCCACCAAATGGATCAATCCATCTCGAGGTGCTACCACTCGCTTCCCACAAGGCCACCCCTGGACCCTGGGGACAAAGTCCTCGACACTGGAGCTTTGGAGGACATTCCAGATCCAAACCATAGGATCTCTTTTCAAAAATCCTTTCCGAGGGTGACCGACCAAGGTCTTCAGCCTCTCTTGTCCAGTAGCGAGTGTACTTAAGGTTGTCCTGTGTCCCTTGGCGGAATGCCCTTCCCACGCTCTCGGATCAGCCTGATTTCAGGTGCCATTCCTTCAATACCCAGGGATGTCGCAAGGTCTGTCTCCCAGAGCCATTGCCCTCCTCGCTGTCACGGTGAGAGCGCCCTGGGTTTCCCTGGGTATGTCCGGGCAGAGCCAGGCGCCACGCCCAGCAGCCTTGAACCACCTGAGAGCCTTCTGGCCAATGGGAAGCGAGCAGAAGTGTGGGCAGAGCCTGTTGGGCACCGTGAGGGGCGATCGATGCGGACCTTGCGGCGGCTCAGCTGGGGTCAGCCAGGAGCAGGACCAAGACCTGGGCCCTCTCAGGGGATCCTGCTGCTGACCACAGTCCCGGCGTTCATGTGGGAAGTAAGTCTCCCTCGCAGGCCGCTGCCCTGGGGCACAGGGGAAGCTCAGCCTCTGCTCCAAGTGGAGAGGAAGGGAGAACTTAGGATTCATGATTTTCCTAGAATATGATGAGTAAAAATATCTACCTTTTAATTTTTTCTTTGTAATTAAGTACATTTCCCATTTTTTAAATTGCTAAATGAGTCTTTGAAAAAATATGGCGTCTACTTCAAGTTGGAGATGTTTTAGGAATGTATGAAGTTGAATTTGCAGACATGTGGTCCGTGTCTCTCAACCTGACTGATCCTTTGCCGTCCACCACGTYGGTCTGGCCCTGAGAACAGGGCTTGCCATCCCCGCTGGGCCCCGCGGCCCTGAGGTTCTCCTGGGCTTTGGGAACTTGGCTGTGTAGCTCAGTGGTGGGCGACAGATTCATCATGTTATTTTATTCACGCGTCGTTCTCGTCACTGCCCTCCGTTCCTGGCCCATTTAACGCGTGGACCCTCGTTTCTAGCTCTGGTGCTGACCATGGGCCCTCCGTCCCCCGTACACGTGTGAGTGGCATCTCCAGACACCTCTGTATTTTCAAGCACCGTCACCTGTCTGTAGCGCCCTTCTTTCTGGCCTTTTTGGGGGAGCACAGCTCACCTCGTCTGCTTGCAGGGCGTCCACCAGCACCATGACCACTTCTTATTGCGGATCCTGGGTGTCGGGGCTCTGGGGGCTCCAGGGCAGAGCCCCTTCCTCTGGGCGCTTTGTGGACACATGGCACGCCACGGCCATGGACACTCCTTCAGTTTCGTGAGTGTCCCCAGAGGCCCACGTGTTGCCGTTGTGAACCCGGGAGGTCTGCTGGGAGCAGATCGGGTGGGAGTCCTTGGGCACTAGGGGGTGTCCTCAAGAGAGATGGTGGGACCCCGCCATGCTCTTGCCTGTGCTTCCTGGCAAGAGACGTGACACTCACTGTGATAAGTGTTCTGGCCACGGCCACTTGCCCTCACCAGAGGCCAAACCAGTGTACCCACCTGGTCTTGCACCTCTGAAATGGTGGGCCCCATAAACCTCTGTCTCCACCAGGTCAGTGCCTCTGCCATTGTGCTGTAGTGACATGCGCTGACCAGGACGGCCTGGGACTCCTTCCCTCCAGTTTGGGAACCTCCTGGGCTTCCTGCACGGCCCCCTGCGGCTTTGTGGTCCCTTCCAATCCACCCGCTGCTCTTCCTCTTCCTCTCTTTCCCTGTCGCTCGCCCTGGGGCTGCTGCTGTCCCGGCTCTCCTCCGCACGCCTCCTCCTGACAGACACACGCCGCATCCTGAGTTCTTCTTCCACCTCGTCCTCCCCACGCAAATTCAGAATCCAGGGACACGTGTCTCTCCTGAGGTTCAGCCAACGAATCAGGATTTTTAGATCCTCCTTGAGGTGTGTGTTCATCTCCTGGCCCCATCTCCTGGCCCGGGTCCTGCCTGCACTTCCTCCTGGAACAGGGCTGCCTCCCAGGGGCTGTGGGTCTCTGCTGCCGTTGCAGCGTGGTCTTCCCACTGCCTGGATGAGGCAAAGCCAGCCCTGGAGCCTGGGTCCCCAGTGGGCCACCTTCCAGAGCCACAGCAGCCATGTCCTCGAGCTGCCGTCTGGGCCTGCTGGACAGCTGAGATTCCACAGCAGCCACCAAAGGGCCTCCCGCGAGCCACCTACAGACTGTGGGCATCCCGAGGGAGGCTGCAGAGCGCATCAGGCCCTTGTCATCCCCAGCCTGTCCCCAGCTCTTGCCACAGCCCCCCCCCCCGTACCACCTGCCCACAGCTCCCTGACCAGCTCCCTGACCAGCTCCCTGACCTGTCCCCTCCCCCAGCCAGCCCCAGCCCCTGACTTGAACTAGACTCCGCTGATCATGTCCACCTCAAACTCCTGGCCTGACAGCTCTTCCCTGGACAGTGTGAGTGGGCAGGGTGGGGGCCGCGGCTGCCCCGTGCACGCGCCTGCCGAGGGGCTGGGCAGGCAGGACGGGCCTCGCTGCTGCACCCCGCCTGTAAGGCAGGGATTGGGGTCCCTGCTCCATGACTGGAGGGATGCCAGAGGCCCTGCCCACAGTGACCCACACGTGGGAGGCCAAACAAACGCTCACGTGGGCAGCACCAGAGGCCCAGGCCAGCGGTACAGGCCCTGAGAGTCGAAGACGCTCGCCGGACACGCCAGGTCACTGTCAGAGGCACGTGTCCTGCGCTCAACAAGCTGGGAGCCACTGTCCAGATGTGAGACACCGTGACTGGTGGCCACCAGAGCCCTGCCCTGAACCTCCCCCACAGGTCAGGCCCGGTGCCAGCAGTGAGCCTGCTCCTGGGCGTGGGCGGTGCACCCTGAAGCCTCCACACAGAGCACAGGCTGCCCGGGGCCGGGGGACAACACTGGCTGGTGGGGCGGGGATCACGTGGGACACTGTTTCCTGAGCGGTCACCTCACCTAGGCCTGCAAATCTAGGGTCATCGATATGGCCAGGAGCAGGCGGGGGCCCGCTGCGGCAGATGGGCCTCTGCCCTGGGCCAGCCTAGGTCTCCCAGAGTTAGGTGAGGTCGGAACTCCAAACCTCACGGTGTCCCCTGACATGGGACAATCAGATCACAGTGAGGTCATCAGGGGGCTGAGAGGAGAGCAGGACCCAGAGACTCCACAGGGACACAGTGAGAAGGTGGCCCCGAGCCAAGGAGAGGTCTCAGGAGGAACCAGTCCTGCCCACACCTGGATTCTGGCTTCCCGCCCCCGAGCCCACCTTCTCCGCAGCATTCACTACGAGGTTACATAGCTCCTGCCTGGTGGACCCCAGGGCTGACGGATCCCTGATGGCCAGAGGTGGACCAGGGGTTCCCCGCCTGTGGGGAACATGGACCAGGAGTGTCCCTGGACTCAGGCTGTTGGTTAATGAGCCACAGAGCGAGGAAGCCCATCCTGCTGCTGTCAGCCCCACAAGAACCTGTAAGCCTCCCCTGTGACCCTCCTGGACAGTGCTGCAGGGCCCCAGGCTCTGGCCAGCTGTCCTCTCCTGGGGGCCACCTCTACCCAGCCCGACTCCTCCCGTTCCGCCCTATTTTTCTCCTTTGTCCTCCAAGGTGCTCAGCCTTCAGTGGCAGGATACAGAGCTCAGCTCCTGCCGTGGCCAGGCACCACCCTCTCCCCCCAGCCCCTACCCTGCCTCAGTTTCCCCCCGTGAAGCCTAGGTGGTCCGGAAAGGCCAGCTCCCAGTGGGCCCAGCAAAAGTGCTGTCTGTCCCAGCCCTGGTGCTGGGCACTCATGGGGCAGGTGGAGCCTCGCCAAGGTCCAGYCCAGGGACCAGGCTGCATGTCCACCCCCAACAGGGCCAGGCCCATCCCTCCCTGGACGGCCACTTCAGGTCTGACCTCGTGGTGAACACAACCCTTTAATGGAGCTGCAACGGCTTTGTACCAGGTCTGTGCCAGATAAAACCGCGAGCCCGGGCGTGGGGTGGGCCGGGTCTCCGCCCTGCGGGGGCGTGGACGGTGCCCTAGTACTTGAGCAGCCAGCGCGGCCTGTGCGGGCTCAGGGACGTGAAGTAGGACCACCACCAGGGCTTGCTCCCGCCGGCCGAGGGCTGCCTGCGTGCCCCGAGGGGCTCAAGGTCCAGCTGCGGGGGCTGGTCCCGCAGGCCGGCACCTCCCAGCGGGTCCCGAGATGCAGGCGCAGTTCTCTGAAGTTCACGGGACAGCTTCTTGTGTCCTGCCCCCAGAGGCTGCAGAATGAAGTCCACGCGGCCTGCCTTCCTCATCCGCAGGGGGATGGTGACTCTCTTCATGACTTTGGAGTAGCCAGGGGCTTGGGCGATGACGATGTGGGAGCCGGGGGGYAGCAGTCGCCAGTAGTCACCATCCGGGGCTTCCGAGAGGGAGAATGACTCACCAGGCTGCCCCACGAGGGGGCGCGGGCCCCACACCTGCTCTGGCCTCGGCCTCTACCCGGCAGGTCCTTCCCACCTCCCAAAGCCCTGCGACGGACTCCTCGGAAGACCTCACCGACGCCCAGCCCCCCAAACACTCGGGAGCACCCCTCAGCGGACTGGACCCCCAGCTGCGAGGCCCCTGAGGCCGGCGGAGCCCACACTGGCCTGAGGACGGACGGACCGAGCGCCCCGCCCACTGGAGCCAGCAGCCACTGCAGGCACCCCTTGGCCCCTTTGATCGACGCGGTCCCAGGGGGAGGCCAGGAGGGTGCTCACCTGTGGTGACATCATGGCGGATGCCTCTGACCAAGATGCGRGCGTTCTTGACGGGTTTGCCAAATTTGTCCATCACCACGCCCTTGATGCCCCGGTGCACCTGAGAGCGGAGGCACAACATGGGCTCATGCTCCCGGGAAGCCCAGGCCGCCCGCCAGCCCCGCCAGCCCCCTCAGGGTCTGGGGTCTCTGGGGAGCCCTCCGGTGGCGCCCTGCTCTGCCACCCTGCTGCGTGGTTATGAGGAGCGCCCTCCTCCCTGGGCCTCCGTAGGCTCAGCGGTGAAGTGAGGTGACAGGCATCCACCCTGGCACGTTCCCGGTGTGTGAATGACCCTGCGGTTCTACCTGTGGTCTGCCTCCACCTCCTGGCCTCCACATGGAGATGACCTGGCCTGTCCACCTACTGGAGTGTCTGAGCCACCGCCCAGCCTCCCAGCTACAGCCGGCCTCCAGAGTTCCCTCGGGGCAGAGGCTCCCTCCTGAGGGCAGCGTGGGCATCAGGGAGGACACAGGGCAAGGTCTTGGACCTGTGACAGCCCTGGAGGACCCCCAACCCACTCTTGACCAGCGAGCTGCCTCGCACTCAGCACGTTGTCCTGCCTGAGCACGATGACCCACCCCGTGTCGCTGAGGACGGGACCTAGGACATGGAGGAGGACACAGCGCACTCGGCCCTGGTGTGAACTGGTCCCAGCCAGGCCCCTCTGCTCCTGTGACGTCCAGTGCCACCGCCCAGGGCTCTCGGCCTTGGGCGAGCCACGAGCTCCTCTGTGCCTCATTTTCTCTACTATAGAATGGGGACGGGCAAAGCCAGAGCAGCTGGCCGTGCTACAGGCCTTCCCTGCGCCCCGCTGCCCCAGGGAGCAGATGTGGGGACCGCACCCAGGGTCGCCGCCCAGGTTCACCTGTGGGAAACCCAGGGCAGGGGCCATCCGAGCGGCCCTCAGCCTGGGCAGCCCCATGACTCCCGACCCTCTTCACCCTCGGTGGCCTCAGAGGCCCGAGACAGTTGGACCCCTGTGCAGGGCGCCACCATCCCGTCTGCCTGTGCTCGGCCAGGTCCCCGCTGTGGAGAGGATCCAGGGACGAGGGCACGTGGGTCCTGATGTCAGGGTCTCCGCCTCCTCATCTGCTCCTGGGGGCAGGCCACCCTCCCCGGCTTGTGCCCACATGGGGACATGGGTGTCCACGGCCTGCAGCCCAGTGGGGCGGACAGGGACAATCCCACGTGGGCTTGTTTAGGTGGACGGAAGGGAGGAAGTCAGGTCCTCAGGGGTGGGAGGTGTTGAGGACAAAGGGATCGCGTGACAGCCATGTCACACAGCTCATCCGGGGCTGGCGGGGTACGCAGAGCCCCCACCAGGCTTCAGGGTTCAGCCCAACCTGCGGTCTCCCCTCTGCTCTGCGGCACCCCCAGCTCCACGTTGCTGTGCCACCCCGACCTCTATCCTCCGGCCTTGCCCCTCCCTCAGAGCGCTCTGGTCAGCTTCCACAGCCTCCGGCCCCCTTCCAGAGACGGTCGCTGTCCTCCTGCAGGAAGCCCGCCCTGACCCCAGCCACACTGGGGGCCTCCTCGGGGTCCCGTGGCCCGGGCTCCCTGAGACGTTCCTCGGCTCCCCGCCCTAGGGGAGAACAGGCCGGGCACACAGGGGCGCTGCAGTGGCTCCCCCAACCCTGGGCCCTGCTTTCCCTCCCATCCAGCCCTCCTGGGCGGCGGGGCGTGGCCCTCCAGCCCACGGGGGCTGCAGACTCCCCGGCCTGCCCAGCATCACATGGAAAAGCCTCAATTGGCCACGACAGGCTCGATCCTTATCAGAAGCCTGCGCCGGCTCTGCTGGGGGGGCCGTCTCGGGAGCAGCCGCGCGCCGGCCACCCCCAGCCACACGCCATTAAATCTTCATATCCCAGGACTTCATGTGCAATATCCACGGAGCAATCCCAGCTGCTCTGAGACTCCTTAAAACTCATTTCCACCAGACAGACCCGGGATGAAACGAGCACCCGGGGCCCATCTCAGGAGGAGGCCCTGGGGCACCAGTGCAGCCACCAGTTAGGAACCTGAGCAGGGCGACACGCTCCGCGGTCCCCCGAGCTGTGCTTTCCTCCGCCCTGATGCTCCTGCTCAGGCGGCAATTGCGAAGCACCCTGCCTTCCCACTAGAGAGCCTTTCTCCCCCAGGGCCGGCTTTCTACCGGAACACCTGGGCCCACATGGGATCCGGGTGGTTACTGCATATCACGGAGGACATCCACCAACCCCAGGACCCTGTGGTCTTCCCCGTGGCTTCCCCAGGCCCTCTTGAATCTTGCAGCACTTTGTCTAGGCTGCGCTGGGCGAGGGGGTGGGCACTGGGCACCAGGCCCCCAGCTGTCTGGGGAAGGCCTTGGCTCTCTGGTTCAGCAGGATCACCGTGGCTGTGTTCTCTGCCATCCCCACTCACCACCTACCTACCTGTGTCCAGGTGGCCTTAGCCCTGGCAGTGGCTATGCCTCAGGCAGGCCACCTCTGGACCCAACCTCTGACCGTCCATTCCAGCCTGCTCAGGCAGGCCACGTGGACCCCTGCTCCCCTGAGCCATCACCTCATCCCCGCCCCATTCCCACAGCCAAGGTCCTCACTCCAGCCATAGGACCCCCGAGGGACCCCAACACCCAGGAGTTCTTACACGTGGCCCTCTCTGCCCAGCCCTCTGTCTTGTCCCCTGATTCCTCCTTCCCCAAGACATCAGCCACCTCCTCCAGGAAGGCCCCTGGCTTCCAAGGCTGGGTCAGTGCCTCCGGGCTGCCTGGCTCCCGCACTCCCTCTGGGGGAGACCCTTGCTCAAGGGGAGTCTGACTAGGTCCCCTGGCGTCCCCACACCCCCAGGGCACATGGGGGAGGGGCTGGAGAGCCTGAGTCCTGAATGAGTGGGCGAGTCTGTCCCCAGGCCCGGCTCACCATCTCCACGAAGCTCAGGAGGGACTCCTTGTTGCTCAGCCAGAGCCCATAGAGGGCCTCCTCCGGGGGGAACTTGACGCAGCCCAGCTCCACGGTGATCTCAAAGCAGTTGCTGTGCAGGTAGTTGAAGTCGGACATGCCTACGCACAGGGCACGGCCGTCAGGGCAGGGGCCGGCGAGCACGCAGGTGCTGGGGACTCTCCCCGCCTCACAGAGGGCAGCTGAGGCACGGGGCACGGAGGGCTCTCGCCAGGACCCCAGAGGGGGACTTGGAACCTGACAGGTTAGTGGCGAAGCCCACGGGCTTCGCGTCTTCCCCTCGTCTGGGGCGATTCCCCAGAAGGCAGCGCCTGGGGTACACGGGCCCCTGCACCCCATCCACGGGCCTGCCCTGGCCTCAAGGCCCCAGGAGTCTGGCAGGAACAATTATGTCCATTTCCCTGGACACTGGCCCAGAGACATCTTAGCATCTCCACTTTCCCGGGGGCCTGTGGGCCCGGGAGAGCTGGACGCCCGCAACCACCCAGCGGCGGCTGGGAGGACTGCGGCTCCTGCCCCACTCACTGGGCTCCAGTCTCCTGGCCAAGAGAAGCCACGCGCCCAAGAGCAGGACTGGGTGGACAGCAGGATAAGGCCACCCTGTGCCAGGGGCAGCCGGCAGCCCACGCTGCGGGAGCTCAGGGTCTCCTCTGAGCCCCCACAGTGCACTGGTGTTGTGACCCCCCTGTCTGCAGTCCCCAAGGCCTTGCCACCCAGGACTCATCTGGCCCTGCCCACGGGCCCTGTCAGCTGGGAGGGGAGTCCAATGGCCTCTATCAGCCCACCCTGCCCTGTGGGTCCTTTGAAGAATCCAGAACAGAGCCAAGACCCAGGCTGCCGGCCTCTGGCTGGGGTCAGAAAGCCCACGCATCTGGTCCTGAGAGAAGAGGGCCTGGGCCAGTATGGACAGCAAGGGGCAGGTCACCAGGGCCCTGCCCACAGCTCTGCAGAGCTCCCGAGCAGGAGGAGTGGGCAGGTGGGGAGACGGGCTTGCATCCCGAGTGCCAGCCCCGCCACCCGTGGCCGCCAAAGGAGAGCCCGTCTTTCCCTCGTCCTCATCTGGAACAGATAACAAGTGTTTGGCTGGCACATGGGACACCAGCTATGGGAACACCGTGGGCCGGGCCTGGGGGCACCCCCGGGGCATGCGGTAGCTGTGGGCCCCACACTGTCCCTGTGGTCCTGCAGCCAGGGCAGTGCCAGTCAGTAAGAATGCAGGTGCCCAGGTAAAGCTGAGGGCCAGAGAAATGACCAAGTCCTGGTGTAAGTCGCCCCACGGGCCTTCTCTCCACCCGCGTGCCTCCAGCGCACGCACAGATACGGTACCAGAAAATCTCTGCTGTCTCTGAAAGCTGGCCTAACTGGGGTCCAGGAGTGGCCTGCCCGCCCTCCATAACCCTGAAGGGCAAAGCGCATTGGCAATACGTGCACGTGACCCGGGGCTTTTCATAAAGTAAGCCACAGCAACGGCCGCTGCGGGAGGCCCAGGGTGGCCCCCCACATCCCTCCGCTGCGTGAAGACCCTCAATGAACACCAAGCCGGCCCCCAGATCTTCCCACCCGACCACCCGGCCCAGAGCTTCCCGGCCTTGGGCTCTGGCCTCCTCCCGAGTGGGTCCTGCGCCCACGGCCCCCACAGAGCCGCACCTCCGGTGAAGCTGTACCAGTCCGCCCCRTTGATGATGCTGCCCTGCTTCAGGAAGTTGCCCCCACACCTGCCCTCCGACCTGTCCATCATCATAGGGTGGACGTCGGCGTAGGCTCTGGCCAGCAGCTTGAACATCTGGAAAGGAGACAGAGAGAGCTCTCCTGGGGCCAGGCCAGCACGGCAGGGGCTCTCAGGTGCCCTCGGAACTGGGCAGGGCAGAGGGGGAAGGACAGCCCAAGGCACAGGCAGGACAGGGACGGTGCACAGGCTGGGTCCCCTGCAGCCTCGGGGCAGTGCGCTGGGTCTCTGAATGGCACACCCGCTGGGCCACCGTCTTCTGTGGGGAGAGGGCACACTGCAGTCATCCTGGCAGTCTACCCAGCTTCCTGTGGCCTGGAGGGGCTGTGGCAAAGGCAGGAGGCTGGGAGTGGAGGTCGGAGGAGAGGCAGGACTTCTCATCCCAACAAACATACACAATCATTGTCCCCGCACAGCCCACAGGGGCCAGCCAGCACCTTCAGCTGCGGGGACTCAGCCTGCAGGAAGCCCCTCTCTGGCCACCACCAGCTGGCCAAAGCCACGTGCAGTTTCCACCTATGGTAGAGGGACCCTGGACACACCTGTAGCACCGCCCAGCCAGCCTGTGCGTGGCCTGGACACCTGCCTGCCCAGAGCTTCCCACACAGGCCCCTCCTCTGAGGCAGGGTCCAGGTCCTCTCCTGGGGCAGGGTCTCTGTCATCTGTCAGTCCTGGGCTGGACATGGGGCCTGGCCCAGTGAGAGACCCTCCAAATGTGGGCAGACGGATGAATGGGCGTCCTGCACTGGGCTGTTGGGGCCCCGCGGCCTGGGACTCACCTGTCCTGGGAGGGGGATACTCGGTCAGAAAGGAGGACACAGAAGGGTGGGTGGGTGCAGGTCAGATGAGGTCTCTCCCTCGTGGGTTCAAGGGACCTGGAGCCAGGACCTGGGGTCCCCAGAGGGGATGCTGTCTGACCCCAACTTGTTCCCATGGTCACAAGCCAGGCACCCCAAATCCACCCCACTGTCTTTGGCCCTGGGGTAGCAGGTCAGGACTGCTGCCCCACCATTCATGGACAGGTCGCCATCACCTGGGGGCATCCGGGTGCCCTGCCACCCCACCAAGCAGCCGTGGGTCTGGGGGTGGGTGTGGCACCGGGGCACTCTGCGCCCCAGGACTTCCCAGCCCTCCGACCTCGCCCTTCCTGTCCCAGGCCTGACCCTGGGCCCTGAGCCTCAGGCAGGGCACAGACAGACAGGAGGACCGCAGATACAAGGAGGGGCGGACGGGCTGCTGGAGAGGGTGGCACGGAGGGGCACGGGGACCTGGGCACGGTCCAGGGCCATGGGGTACCCCTGCTGGGAGCCCSGGGGACTGCTACCCTCTCCCCGGGGCAGGATCCAGCTCCAGGACAGTGTGGAGGTGAGAGGGGCGCGGTGGGCCTGGGGCCTTGGACATGGCCCAAGGCACTGGCTCTCACCTGGGGCATCAGGGAAGTTTGGGAAAAGCCCACCTCATGACCCCCACCTGCCCTGGGCTCTGGCCTCCACAGAGACCACTGCAGCGATGGCTGGTGGCCCAGCCTCACGTCTCCTGACCTGGGGGACTTGTTGAGGTGAACCTTCCCCTCGGGGCAGCGCTGCCCTCTGAGGCCATGGAGCTGAGCCCACATGGAGGAGCGCCTGCTGCCCGCAGGACTCCTGGGCTGCCCGGTGGTTGGCCCTGCTCTCTGAGGGCACCAGGGTCCAGGCAGGGCCAGCCCTGGAGGCCACCCGGCCCCTGGGGCACTTCCTGAGGTCTGAGCCCAGAGCCCAGCACCCCCTTGCCCTTGGCGGGTGTCAGTCGATGAATGCGGGGAGCGAGGGAGGGCGCGGGGGCTGGAGGGGAAGGACAGGTGACCCAGCTGACCCAGCGGACGCAGCCCTGCCGTCACTCCTGTGCTCAGAGGTGGGCTGCGGGCTCCTCCTGGGCCCCTCTGCAGGTGGCCCTGAAGCCTGGCTTTCTCATGCTGCCACCTGTGCCTCCACTGTCCCTGGCTGTCCCTCGTCTGGAAACCCCCGGCTCATCTTGGGCCCGCCGGGGAGCCCCTGAACCCAGGCCAGGCCGGGGCCCACCTCAGGTCAGTGCCCCCAGCCTCAGTTCTCTGGCCCATGCAGTGGGAAGCACCAACTCCCACGCCCTGTCCAGATCAGCCAGGGCCTCAGTGGGCCCCAGGAAAGGGGGACGGTGGCCAAGGGCTTGGGGTGGGCCATGCGCGCTGCAGCACTGCCCTCTGCTGGCCACGTCCAGACTTGCACCCTCTTCGAGGGTGAGGGGCAGGAAACACTCTGGAGGCCACTGGACATGGGCCCAGGGGCAGGAGACTGCTTCCTGCTGGGTGGGAGCCTTCTGGGAGAAGGGGGTCCTGCGCACACAGGCCCCCGGGCTCCAGTGAGCCCAGAGCAGGTGGCACCGGCCGGCCGGCACCTGCCCAGGCTCCCTCTGCTCACCTTCTCGTCAGGCGTGGGGGAGAACATCTTCATCTCCAGAGGGTGCTTGGAGAAGTCAAAGGGGTAGGACACCACCAGGTCTCCCCCGTGCAGGCTGGCTGAGAGCACGAAGGGGGCCGTCCGCATCCACTTCATGATGGCCTTCGTCTCAGGAGCCACCTGCCCAGGGCGGAGGAGCCACTTTCAGGGCCKGGCATGCCTGCTGACCACGCCTCAGGCAGACAGCCTGCCCAGGGCCCCAGCTGAACTCCCGCCCAGCCTTTCCTACTCTGTCCAGGGTCCAGCAGGCCCAGGTGGGCCTCTGCCTGGAGCACATGCTTGCCTCGCGGGGATGGGGGGCGGGCAGGCCTTGGCAGGGCCAGAGGTCCTCTGGGGCCTCTGCACTCTTGACTGCCCCTTGTCCCTGCACTGAGCATTCGATGCCAGCTGCAGGTGCACCTGTCCAAGGACAGCCAGCCCTCGGAGGAAACAGCCTGGTCCCACTCAGTCCCTGAGCACCCAGCACACAGCAGGTGCTCGGCACAAGCCAACAAAGAGCAAGCGGCGGGCGGGGGGTGGGTGGGGGTGGGGGGGACACTGTCAGAGGTTCTGCCTGGGCCAGGCAGGGGCCAGGACTAGGTGCTTCCAACACATTATTCCCTGACTCCCACCAAGCCAGCAAGACTCTCCCCATGGCACTGGGGCACACTGAGGCGCGGGGGGCCAAGGTGCCTTGTCCCCAAGGAAGGACGACCCAAGAGTCCCAGATAGCTAGGAGCCCTGTGGAGGCCTCAGCTGCACTGGAGCCCCGGGCAGGCACGGGCAGCAGCGCTCCTACCTTACCCCACCAGTAGTGCTCCGGGATGGGGATGTGGTCGGTGCGCGTGCCGCGGATGGAGGCCAGCCGGTAGTATTCGGACGTCAGGTCCGGGAAGTTGCGGTTCAGGTCCAGGTTCTGCGCATTCTGCCTCCCACTGGTCCATCCGTTGTACCCGGCACCCTGCAGACACCGGCAGCCCCAGGGAGGTCAGCACAGCCCGGCTACTCCTTCTAGACAGAGGCCCCGAGGGCAGGGGCTGGAGCCAGCAACAGGCAGGGCAGCAGCGTGACCGCAGAGCCACCCTGACCTCCTCAACTCCCACGATGTTCTGTTGCAAGCATCACCTCCTCAGCACAGAATGATATGGGCCTGCCCAGCCCCCAAAGCAGGACCTGGCCAATATTGATCCCTGCCAAGTCCTTGTCACCCGGAAGTGCAGACACAGACAGACCCTCCGCAGCAACGGGGAATGAGGTGGTGTCGAGGGCAGCAGCCACCACGGGTGTCAGGGACACTCACCTCTGCAGCAGCCACCTCATAGCCGTCGGGGTTCATGGAGGGCAGCAGGTGGATGCGGGTGGTGTTGATCAAGCGCTGGATGCGGGGATTGCCCAGCAGGTACTCGGAGCACAGGTACTGGGCCAGGTAGATGAGCATCTCCCGCCCCACCACCTCATTGCCATGGATGTTGCCAATGAGTTTCACCTCGGGCTCCACTGGGGGAAGAGATGCCAATTTGGGGCATCATCTCAAACCCTTGGGGACCCCACTTAGCAAGGGTGAGCAAATGTACCTGCACCAATTCACACTTGTTTGGACCCAAGAACCTCTGCATGGCGAGGGCTCCTGGAGGAGCCACCTGTTGAACGGATTTCTGACATTGAACCCTAATTATTAGCATGACAAACCAAGGATACTACTAATGTGATGGGTGTCATTCACTCCTGTGACTCACTGATAGTCACTTTCTATGATTGTATGAGTCAAGCACATTGGTGCTCAGCTGGGAAGGCAGTTGTCCCTGGGAGGGATGGGTGGAAGGAGGGGTGGGTGGATAAATGGATGGGAAGATGTATGAGTGAGTGGATGGGTGGAGGGATGAGGGGAGGGATGGGTGGATGAATGGATGGGTGGGTAGATGGATGGATGGATGGATGGGTGGGTGGAACGGTGAGTGAATGGGTGGAGGAATGGATGTGGAGAGATGGGTGGATGGGTTGATGGATGGAGGGATGGGTGGGTGGGTGGACGAGTGGATATATGTGTGGATGAACGAGTGGATGAATGGGTGCATGGATAGGTAGATGAATGGGTGGGTGCGTGGATGGATGGGTAGGTGGATGGATGGAGGGATGGTGGGTGAATGGATGGATGGGTGAGTGGGTAGTGGAGGGATGGGTGGAGGGATGGGTGGGTGGATTGTGGGAAGAGGAGTCAACCAGGCCTAGCAGCTTGTTTGCTGCAGGACTGGGGAAGTTGCTACTCTTCTCAGAGCCTCACATTACTCACGTGGAAATGGTGTCTCTCTCCTCAGCTCCGTGTGTCCCAACCCTCCAGCCATGGGAGGGAACACTTATGTCCCTTGATCTCCAGATCCCAGGGTATAAATGACCAGGAGGCCCCCCATGCCAGTCACCTCCCTGGGCCCTCTGCAGGTGTGGGAACAGGGCAGGTCTTGGAGATGGGTGCATCTGGGTGGCCTTTCACCCTTGGCAGGAGACAGGGCCTTTGGGCTCCTGCTGGACACACTGCCTAAGCCGACAGGATGCAGAGGAAAGGCCCTGAGTCTGCTACCTACTTGTGAAGCCCAGGGCTGAATGGGGTTGATTCTGGGTTGACCCTGCTGACCAATGAGGCTGGGGCACAGGGATGAGGAAAGACCTGGACCCAGTGATCCCCAGAGGCCTGTGCCCTGGATGCTCTCAGTGCCCAGGGTGGGGGGACCACATGGTCACCCTGGCCTCACCCCACAGGAAGCAGGGCTGCACAGCCAGGAGGCCGAGTCTCCCCTAGATTTTCTCATGAAGCCAGCTGGGGGAGCTCTTGCAGCCTACAGCGGTGCAGAGTGATTCCTAGCTCCCTGCAAGAACAGTGTGACCCAGCATCTTCCACACTGCCCTCTGCTGCTGTGTACAGGCCTGCATGCACGTGGACAGGGCTGCTCAGGAGGAGGAGCCGCACAGTCCACATCGCCAGTTGGGCAGTTGGGCAGGGCAGAGTTTGGACAGTGACCAGGACCCAGGCTGCACAGACCTGGCCGGGGCCTGGTGCTCAAGGGCAAGCCTGGGACAGCAAGGACCAGGGACACAGGACACCCGCCAACAGGTGAGGCCAAGCTCCCGCAGCCACGGCAACCACCTCCCCCACTTGCAGCTCCTCGGGGACCTGACCCCCAGCTCCTAGAGGACAGGCCTCTGCCTTCACCGGACCCCCGCACTGCTGCCTGTTTTAAATTCCTGCTTGGTCTCCTGTCCATCCCTCTAGGCCTGTGTCCCTGTCACCATGAAGAAAGCTCTTTTCCCGTCACCAAGTGCTCAAGTGTAATGCCCCTGGGGGGATTCCCCAGGGGATGTGACCACGAGCCAGGCAGAGCCCCAAGTCTCCTCCAACCCTGATCCCCAAACACGGCTCCCCCAGCTGGTGCACCCCAAGGCCCAGTGGCCCAGAGTCCTTCCCCAGATGCAGAACCAAGGCCAGCCCCTCCCTGGCACTTACTCAGCTCATGCTGGCCAGGGCGGCCCGAGAACTCGATGACCAGCAGGTCCTTGCCATCAAAGCTGCGCCCGATGCTGTAGGTCTTGGCCACCTGGGCACAGCGCGTCGCTGTCCGCTTCAGCACCCGCACCATCTGGGCGTAGGAGTGGTGGGCAAAGCGGATGAAGGTGGGCGGCAGGCCTGAGGGCAGGGCCTCCTCAGCCTCCAGGTCCCCTGGGGAAGAGAGGGTAGTGGGTGGCACTGCCCGCCTGCCAGCGGCCACTCTGTCTGCACCCCAGCCTCCCTGGCACTGTCTGGGGACAAGCCCTTCCCCAGCACCCTCCCTCCCCACCCCCACACACCGCAGCGACCTGGGGGTGGTAGCAGCGTGTCCCCTCGGATGGCTCTGCCAATCTGTTCTGACTGTAATCAGATTCTTGTAGTAATACTTATAACACCGTCCACAGCGAGGACACGGCCAAGAGGCACACACAGCCCAGCAGCAGCATTCCCCGTGCTGGCAAGACGTGGGGACGGGGTGAGGACTCCCAGTGCAGCCAGCAGCAGGGACGAAGGGCCTCCCCTGGGGCACCCAGCACCCCAGCACCTGGCAACACCTTCAGCCCTGTGCCCTCGCAGCCCACTGACACCCTCTGAACCATGGGGCTGGCCCGTGGGGCACCCTGAAGCTCTCCCTGGTCAGCTCTCCCTGGTCAGCGCCAGCGTGAGTTAGCCAGCACAGCTCCAGAGGTTCCCTGTGGCCTGCATCCACTGCTGCACCCACTCCCGGCTGTCCACTGTCAGTGCCTCCACCAGGAGAGGGGCAGGGAGGCACCCGGGCGGGTGCAAGCAGGACCCCCTGCTCTCCCTCCCCGGAGCAGAAGCCCCAGGACACCAGGGACCCTGCGCAGCCCCGAGGACCCCGCCCAGGGCAGCAGCTCCCTGCAGGCCGCCTGGGGCCACAGTTGCTACGGCCTTCCCTGAGTGCCACCCTGGCSTGCGGTTTTGCCTCTGTTCAGAATGGCTGGGAGGAAGGAAGGCAGGTGGAACTGGCAATTGAGTGGTGGAGATGCCCAAAATAACCTCTCAGCCTCCTCCTCGGGCTTCCCCAGGGCAGGGGCTTGGCCGCCGGGGAGACGTCTGGATTCTTTCCACAAACCCCAGCCTCAGCGGCTGCTCGCCGCCCCCAAGCAGACAGCTCCTTGCCACCAGCACAGCATCCCTGGGCCGCCTCTCGCACCGTGCTGAAGCCGTCAACCTCCTCGGGGAACGCTGGGCTCCAAGCACCCGGTCAGCCCTGAGCCCCCCACGCCATTGACACGTTACCAGGCACGTCTGGGTCCCTCCCCAGCCATCCACCATGTGTCAGAGTGGAGTCCTGTACACAGGAGGAGCTCAAGATCTGCTGAGGAATGGACACATGGGTCCATCCACCAATGACTGGCCTGGGTCACTGCAGCGAAGACCTTGGGCATCTGCCCTCCCATCAAGCCACGTCCCTAGGAGACTCACTCCTCACACAGGAGGCCCCCAGCCAGTGTGGTCACAGGCCAGCTGGTCTCTTAGGATCCACTCCTACCCACCTGGGGCACACAGACCTGTACCCCCACAGATCATAGCCAGGTAGCCTCTGGGACCCCCGAAGGTGCAGCTCACTAGCCCAGAGCTGCCCATTCCATCACCCAGCTGGTTCCCAGGAGGACGGGCCCCCCTCTGCAGCCCCTTCCTGCCTCCTGCTGTCCACAGGCCCCACAGGGCCACCTCCAGCAGTTCTCTCCAGGCCAGAACCCCTGGTGTGGTCTTCCCGGTCCAGCAACCCCAGGTTCACCTGGCAGCCTCCCGAGGGGCTCCCTGCCCACTGCAGCCTCCCAAGGGGCTCCCTGCCCACTGCAGCCTCCTGAGGGGTGGGCTCCCTGCCCACCTGGCAGCCTCCTGAGGGGTGGGCTCCCTGCCCACTGCAGCCTCCTGAGGGGCTCCCTGCCCACCGCAGCCCAGGTGCATGGCCGCGCACTGCAACTTTCCAGGGAAGCCGCAGCCAAGGACTCTGTCCCCTGGGCCACCACGCCCATGTCCCATCTGCTTTCTGAGCACAGCCACCTCCACTGGGGGCCCCTTCTGGGCCTCCCTAGAGCACCTGCCCCCCCCGCCCCGTCACTAGGCCTCCCATGAGCCTGGGTCCATGAAGAGGTGGGACGTTTTGTTGGGGGCTCTTCCTGGCACAGAGATGGTCCCCGTGCCACCCCCTTGGTGGTTCCGCTGAGCTCCCGCAGAGCCTCGAGGACCCCGTGGCCCCCCCTCACCCCGGAGCTTCTCCAGAGGGTCGTAGCAGCCTTCCTCCTCCCGGGCAAAGTAGTGGGCGCAGTCCAGGAAGTAGGGCCAGGCCATGTCGATGGCGTCGAAGGCCGGCTGACAGGCCTCCCGCAGGCCCTCGCAGACGTGCCGGCAGGGTCTGCGCACCCGGCTGCCCTCGCAGCGGGGCGCCAGCACGGCACAGCCCAGCAGCCGCAGGTCAGGGTTGCACTGGCCCTCCAAGAGATGGTGCAGGACGCTCAGCAGGATGTACTCGGGGCTGGACTCCACCGCCTCCCGCGACCGCTGCTCCAGCAGGTTGGGAAAGGCAGTCTGGGTGTAGGCGGCGTCCGCACAGGAGCTGAGCTGCAGGTCCACGCAGGTGGCTGGGGAGGCAGGGTGGGCAGGTGACGTGATGACCTCAGCCCAAGAGGTCCACCCAGGGCCAGGGCCGCAGGGATGGGGCAACCAGAGTCTGGCACAAGGCCTAAGGCTTTGCCTGTCCTGTGTCAGGGATCAGAAAGGATGGGTGGTTCCTGTTCAGCTTCTCTCTCTGCTCAAAGCATCCTATCTGGGACATTGCTTTCAGGCTGGGACTGCTTTCCAAGTTCTCTGAAGTCTGGGCTCTCCATGGAGAACACACCAGTGGCCCAAATCTGGCAGGAGAGCCTTGGCCTCTGGCACCAGACCCCTGGCACATTCCTGCGCACCTTAGACGCTTCCAACAGCATCCCTGGAGATGGCCCTGCCCCACCCCTGCACTAAAGGACACTGGGACCATGGAGCTCACCAGGCCCACAGGCCCACAGAGATGCACCAGGCCCACAGGCCCACAGAGATGCACCAGGCCCACAGGCCCACAGAGATGCACCGGGGGCTGGGGTGTGGCCAGGGTAGAGCACCTGCCCCCCAAAAGAAAGCCTGTCATTCAAGGCCTGCCCTCAGCCCTCTGGAGCAGACCGCAGGAGGGAACCAAGACCAGCAGGTGAAGGAGGGAGGCAGAGCTCGGGCAGCAGAGCAGCTGGGCAAGCCGCTCTGTGGGGCAGGTTGGCCCTGGGCTTCCTCTGTCCCCTCAGCCGCTGAAGCCGGAGCCGTGGTCTGACAGCAGCACTGTCCCTCTCTACCCGCTGCGGAAACCTGGGCTCAGCTCTCTGAACGCTCTGGAGCATGCGGGGCGGCAGCGACCTAGGCCTCAGAGGGGCGTCCAGTACCGTACCGCTGTCGGCTCCCGTCGGCCTGCGGCATTCATCTGCGAAGAGATGCACCCCGGTTAGCGTCCTGCTYGGCCACCCCACGCGCCGGCCGCTGCACCAACCTCAGCCCATCTTCACCCAGCGCTCGCTGGGGGCCAGGCTTCTCTCTGCCCAGCTTCATCTCGGTCCCCACTGCGCCCCCAGGGCAGCAGGCACCCTGCTACCAGGTGAGGACACTGGGCCTGAGCTCAGGAGACCTACCTAAGCAAGGTCCCCGGTGGGGGGGTGGGTCCCAGGGAAGCCTCCAGCCCCACAGCCCAGGACTGGCCAGCAGTGTGCAGGTGACCCTGCTGTCCAGGCTGAGCAGTCTGACCTAAAAATGCCACCGAGGCCAGTCAGCCCCCCAAGGCTGTCACCCAGTGCCCTGAGTCTTTAACAATCAGCCCCCAAGGGCTGCACCCCCATGCTACTAAAAGTCCCTTCCAAAAGGACATCTAAGCACAGGCTCCTTGTCCTCAAGAACGCCCCAGAGTGTGGGGTGACATGCTTGCTGGAGTTGGGGCCCCTTCCCAGAAAAGGATCCGCACATATTGTCCTTGCAACCGTGGGACCTCAAGGGTCTCCTCAAGGACCTTGGCAGGGCCAGATGAAACTTACGCTGACCAGGGCACCTGCCAAGCCCCTGGTGTGACAGGCCAGGTGCTCGGTGAGCGCCGAGGGGGAAGGAGGGGCTCTGCGGAGGGACCTCGAGTCAGACTGCAGCTGAGCTGGTTCTGGATGGGGCTGGGCATGGGGTTGGCTGCGTCCCCACCTGGCCTGGGAAGGGAAAGGCAGGCTGGGTGGACAGACCAGCCAGGACCAAGAGGATAGGCTCCCTAGTAGGTGTGGGCACGTGGGCGGGGGGGCACAGGGTGGGGAGCCCACGAGGAGGGGCAGGAGGCTGGGTCCAGAGGGAATCTGAACGAAAGCCGGGCCTGACGGCGAGGCTGGCAAGGGTGCGGCCACTTTCAGTTTTCTCAAGACCCGGAGCGTGAAAACCCAGCTGAACTCAGCACCCCATGTAGCCCCGTGTGGTCCTACAGGGGGCTCTGGGCTTGCCCACTGCAGGAACTCCTGACCCCAGGGGACAGGCCACCATGGTCTCCACGATCCCCACACCCACCAGCTAGCCAAGCCCTCATGGGATGACAGCATTGGGGCAGGACACCTCCCCCAGGCCACCACAGGGCTGACCTCCCTGGGGAAGCATGTCTGGAAACAGCACCACTGGGTGTCCCCTGGCAGAGAGGGCTGCAGGGTGCCCACCCCCATGCCCTGGACGCCCTGCCACACACGTGGGGATGTGCAAAGCAACTTTCATCTACAAATCCACAAGCAGGTGACAAGGGGGCTCAAGTCACCTAGTCGGCCACCCAAGTGGCACAAGGGCCCCACCCTGCTCTCCTCAGGCAGGTGTGACATCTCCAGGAATGCATGGCTCCATGGCCCTGAGCATTCCCAGACTCACGCTGTCATCACGCCCTGCAGAGTGACAGAGGCTTAGAGCATCACAGCATCATCCACCTGTCAGCAACCAGTGACAGTGGGGAGGGACGGGAGGACCACCCCAGGCAGGCACTGAGTCACACCTCCAGGCCAGGTGTGAGCAGGGACAGGGGTGAGCAGGCCCAGGAGTGAGCAGGCCCAGGAGTGAGCGTCCACCCCATTCAGGCCCAGGGGTGAGTAGGACCAGGAGTGAGCGTCCACTCCATTCAGGCCCAGGGGTGAGCAGGTCAGGGATGAGCGTCCACCCTGCAGGCCTGGCAGCAGCTCCATCTGGCACTACACTTTCCAGGTTCGTCCTGGTCCAGGACCCACACTCTGCAGAGTGGCTGTCTAGTCCCCTGTTGAGCTTGGACTGAGGCAGATGCTGGGAGTGGACGTCAGCTCAGGACGAGGCTCATCAGGTGGACACTTGTGCCCCTGTGTTCTGCTCCGCCCTGTCCCTCGTCCCCTGGGCCTGGACTGTGCACCTGCTGTGCACTGACAACCAGCTGAGCGTGGGGATCTGGAGACTCAACCCGAGGCTGGCAGACGGTCAGTGAGTGGAAGAACCAACCTGGGCTTGACCTGGGGCTCCGCTGGCCTCAGGAATTCAAGGTGAGGACCCAAGGAGCAAGTGGGCATCCACCCCCACACCTGCCTCTCAAGGCCAAGTGCCTGCTGAAGGCTCGGACCACAGCAGAGGTCAGATGAGGGGATGCGTCCTGGTGTCCCCCGCTTCAGGTGTCCCCAGGCTATCGTTAAGAAAGCTAGGTTTAGGGAGCAAGCCCAGGCCTGGGTCTGCTCACTGTGCGTGAGATGACCGTGCTGAGGTCCCATGAGGCGGGGGCCAGCAGGGCCTGGCCCCGTGAGTGCTCAGCACAGCAGCTTGGGTCAGTGGGCAGAAGGAGGGACCACCCAGGCCATGTGGACTCCAGACAGGGGGCTGGCATCTGCCAAGCTGACCACCGACCACAGTAAGAGAAAGCAAGGCCCCACGGTCTGGAGGCCAGGAGCCAGAAGCCAAGCCGTGAGCTGGGGACTCCAGGGGTCACTTGGCCTGCGGCCACATCACTCCAGCCTCTGCCCAGGGCGAGCACATGATGTGCCCCTTTCCTAAGGTCACCTGTCAGGGACCTGGCGCTCCCCCAACCCAGTGTGCTTCATCTTAACCAGGTTTCTTCTGCAACAACCCTGCTTCCCAGTGAGTTCACTCCTCAGAGACTGAGGGCTAGGACCTCAGCTGATTTTTTTTTAATTTTTAATATTTATTTTTTAGTTTTCGGCGGACACAACATCTTTGTTGGTATGTGGTGCTGAGGATCGAACCCGGGCCGCACGCATGCCAGGTGAGCGCGTGAGCCACATCCCCAGCCCCCTCAGCTGATTTTTTGAGGGGGATGCTATTCAAGCCATAACAATGAGCAAGTGGGTGATTCTCCAGCCACCATGGAGCTGGGATGGAATGGAGGAGGGACCCAGAGTGGTTATGCCACTTGCCCTGAGACACACAGCCAGTTAATAGTGAAGCTGGGCCTCACCCAACTGGCGTGGACTCTCTGGACCTCCAATTTTTGTCTACAAATCAAGGGATGGACCAGACAGCCCAAAGCCCACCCTGCCCATCCCAGCACCTGCCTGCTCTTGTAGCCACAGAATGCTGAAGCAGGGACACCTGGAGCCCTTTGTCACCAAGCCCGCCCACCACCCATGCGGCCCACCCTGCACACGTGACCCCCCCGCAGCCTTGGAAACAGAGGGGCGAAAGGCAGCCCCAGAAGGATCTGCACCCTCACTGCCCAGCCTGGCCTCCCGAGCCACAGGCGTCTACTGAGGGCCTCGAAACTGACACCTGCTGGGAGGACAATACACACCAGCGTCAGAACCAGAGGAAACGTCTCAGAAGTGATTTTATATTAATGACTAAATATTAGAATGACCTTTTGGATGTGCTGGGTTAAAATTCTTGTTATAAAAATTGAGTTCATTCATTGCCTCCTTCGTGTGGCTGCCAGAAAACAACCCCGCTTGCGTGGCTAGCGTGGCACTTGACGGCGGCCATCTGGGAGGGCAGTCCCCTGACTGCTGCTTTACGGCAGCCCACAGTGCTGTGACACCTCATGACCACAAGGAGGCAGTATTTCTTTAAGCCGGGGATGGAGACTGAACTCAATTCCTTCCCTCCTTCTTCACTGGACAGTAGGTTGCTCCTCCGGGTCAGGGTCTCCTCCAGCAGAGCAGACACCTGAACCAACTCAGGGAGGTCGCCAAGTGGAGGAATCAGGGCTGGAAGCCAGGACCAAGGACCCGTGAGCATAAAGACACCTGGGACCCCAGGCTCCCATGAAGCCCTGGAGTCCTCCACCAGGGAAGGGACCGTGAGCAAGCAGTCCAGGCTTGCTGTGAACCCCCAGGCACGAGAGTCAGGGTCACGGCAGCCTTTGATGCCCACACTGCCCAGCCCCACGCACATCAGGCCACTGTCTATAAGCTCCCACGCTCCTCTGGAAGGAGGGGCCTGGAGGAGGAAGGGGCTGCAGACGCAGCCCTGATCTGTGTTCTCAGCCCTGGCAAGGACAGAGCTCACCTGCCCACCCTGCAGGAAATGAAGGGACGCAGGCACTGAGCCCAGATGGAGGTGGCTGTACTGCTCCTGGGTAAGACCAGGAAGGCTTCCTGGAGGTGTTGGGGGGGTAGGCCCTAATGAACTGCGACCCCAGACCTTCTCTGAGCTTGCAGGTTCTAGAAGCCTCTCACAAGCAGGCACAGTTCATCCCCAGGCTCAGCAGAAGGTCTGAGAGTGGGAAGAACCAACCTGGGCTTGACCTGGGGCTCTACTGGCCTCAGAGGAATTGGAGGTGAGGACCCCAGGAGCAAGTGGGCATCCACCCAACACCTGCTTCTCAAGGCCAAATGCCTGCAGGGGGCTCGGACCACACACAGGGGTCACATGAGGGGATGCATCCTGGTGTCCCCTGGCTACACACACCTGGGCTTTCTGCAGTGAGGCAGAGGAAAGAGCGGGAGGAAGTGCCAGGACAGTCAGGGGCGGCTGTGGGAGGGAGGAAGAAGGAAAGGTTGGGGAGACTGAAAGGGGCCTTGTCCCCTCATGCACTTGGCAGGTCCAGGCAAGATCTCGGGTGTCCACAAATCTGACACCCATTGTATCCAGGCCTCTGGGGACCCCAGCCCTGCCGAAGCAGATGTCTGCGGCTGATAAGGCCCTGGACGGTGGGGACTAGATGCACCCCAACTCTCATTAGGCAGGGAAATTGGGGCCCACTCCTGGAGGAGAGGCGTGGCCAAGACTGAGCCCAGACTCCAGGCCCAGCTGGAGGACCTTCTCAGGTGAGGTCAGCACAGGTGCGCCTTCCAGGGATCCCAGAGTCCTGCCCAGATCCCCCCAGAAGGCCCGCAGCCCCTCCCACCCCTGGGCCCACTTCCGGAGAAGCTGCAGTCCTGTCACAGCCGCGAGCTGGGAGGGAGGGATCAGAGTCCCGCAGCCGCCAGAGCCCTCCCGTTCCTGGATGGACAGGCCTGGGACGGCCTCTGCCCCGAAAAGTCCTGGCACCTGCTGGACGGGACCCACCTGCAGGACCCCGCCGCGAGGGCCTGTGCCTGGCCTGGCGCGGTGTCACTCCGCTGTCCCCGCCCACTGCTTGGGCGCCCGGGTCCCAGCCTCCAGGTGCTGGAGAGACCCGCGCCCCCTCCGGGCAGAGGTCCCTCTACTGGTCCAAAGTCACACAGAGTCCGCTCTGGGGGCCTTATGGCGGGACCGCGGTCTAGCGAGGGACGCGGGGAGAGTTCCCGGGTCGGGGCCCGCGTCCTCCCCGGGGCGCGCGGCGGGCCTTACCGGCGGGGTCCGAGGGGCGCTCGCCGCACCCGGGCCGCGCGGCGGCGGAGGCCAGCAGGGCCAGCGCGGCCAGGAGCAGCGGCGGCGGCGGCATGGTGGGCGCGGGCGCGGCGCGAGGGCGCAGTGATGTGGCACTTGGGCCCGCGGCCGGGCTGCGCGGCTCGCCCCCGCCCCGCCTCTGGGGGGGCGCCCCGAGCGCCGCTGGAGTCAGGTTACAGCGGGCAGGAGCCGCGGAGGGTGCGGTGGAGAGGACGAGGAGGAGGAGGACCGCAGATAAACCGCCCGGGGGCGAAACCCGCCCCCTCTGCGGGCGACGGCCCCTCCTCGGGACCAGCTACCCCACCTCCCGCCGACGGACAATCTGATCAAATTCCCTGCAGAGGCTGCCCCCACCCCTGGGGCCGGGACGGGAGGGTCTGGAGGCCCTGGCACCCCAGCCAGCAGCGAGCCGTCAAATCGCCCAGCTCTGGGCCCCGGCAAATGAAGAGGGCAGAAGGGTCCCCACAGCCCCACTCTTCCCCCTCTGCACGCACGTGGGTCCACCGAAGGTCTTTGTGGAGGAAACACTTAGGAGACAGGAAGGGAGAGGCGGCCCCTCCGTGGCTGCCTTCCTCTCTGAGCTGTCCTCAGCCCAGGCTGAGAGAAGTCCCTCCCTCGGTGCCTGTCACTCACAGGGCCCAGCAGACAACTGGCCCCCTCTCATCAAAGGAGTGGACACCTGGTCCAGGAGTGGCCTGAAGGCCCTCTACTTACCCCTGACCTCGACCAGGAGCCAAAGGCAAGGTCATGGTGGAGGGGGATAAGCCAGGACTCCTGGGTCTGCACCTAGGGAGCCGAGGTCGAGGACTCTTCCGACCGTCCTCAGTCTCCTATTCCATGCCACACCACCTTGGAGCCACCCCCCTGGGAGATCCCCAGGGCCTGAGAGACCCAGAAGCAAAGGTAATCCTGAGCCCTTGACGTGGCCAGGCTGGAGCCTCTCCCTCCTGGGAAGGGGGTCCCTCATGCAGCTGGACAGACTCTGACTCCTGCTGGCCACTTCTTGCTTCCCCAATGGTATGGTCCAGCTGGTGTGCCATCTGGACGCACATCTGAGCCCTGGGGCCAGCACTGCCCAGATCCCAAGACTCACAGCCCTGTGGTGTTCCCTGCTGAGACATTCGGCCCAAATGATCTTCAGGGGCATTTGCCTTTGTAGGCATCCTTGGACAACTGTCCTGGGCAGCTGGGAGGCCAGGGCAGAGGTCAGTGCATGGATCCTGGAGTCAGATGCCACTCAACTTTGGACAAGCCACTTAGCCCAGAGGCTGGGTGATGGTGGTACCCGCATGGGACAAGAGCGTCCAGTTTCCATCCTGGGACAGGTTCCGCCCATGTGTGCCTCCCTTTCAATAACAATGGGCCTTGGGGGCAGGGAGGGTGGCCGGCAGACCTGCCATCCGGAGGTGCCAGAGCCTGGGGCCGGCAAGAAGTCACGTGGAGCCGGGGAGAGCACAGCCCCTGTTAGTCCATCAATTTCCAGTCAAGGTGAGCCAGTGTTGGCTATGGGAGCCCACAGGTGGTGGTGGCCTGTGCTCCCAGCTGAGATAATTCCTGCACATGCACTGACCACAGGGTAGGTGCCAGGAGCATGGCAGGGTGGGGGCAGGGACCACACCCTGGGACAGGGCAGCAAGAGAAGGGGCAGGCGACTAGAGACCCTGAGGGGACAGGGTGGCATCTGCCTAGGGGGGCAGCGATGTGGGGTGGGGCTAGAAGCCAGGCTTGGCTCACCTGGGAAGAGGCTGTTATTTCAGGGAGGTGCAGAAGCCTGAGCCCTGGAGGCAGTCCCGGAGGCTGCACACCCGCAGCTGTAGCCTGGGGCGGTGGGCAGGGTGGAGACTGGGAACAGGAGCAGAGCTGGGGAGCTCTCAGGCCTCAGCAGAGCAGCCTGCTTCTGGCCATGTCCCAGGAGCCCGATCTGCTTGGGAGGGTACAGGGAAGGGCCACTGTGCTGGGGACCAGGACTGGAGAGGCTGCAGCCAGTGATGGATGCCCAGGTGGGGCCCAAGGAGGGTGGGAGTGCAAGGTACCTGAGGGGGTGGGGAGAGGGCGTCTTTACCCACAGTCCCTCTGGCTGGCCAGCCACCCTGTGTGATCAGGCTGGAGCCTCCAGGACCAGGCGAAGGTCTCAGAAGGATAAGACAAGCTGTGGGAGGACTTCACTTCTGGGCTCTCAGGGTCTCCCTCTGCCCCACCTCTCCCCACAGGCTGCTTCCAGTGACCGGTGGGTACAACAGAAACTCCGCGTCCCCAGAAAAGTGAGCCCCGTGTCCTGTGAGCCGCCTGCAAGCCTCACAGCCCCATGGCCTCTGCTTCCCGCCGCACCTGGGGGAGCAGCTGCAGCTTCAGGGTCAAAACAACTGCTGGGGTCACAGCCAGCCCCAGCCCAGGGTCAGGGCCCAGTCCATGTGTCCCAGGAGCCCTGCAGGGATGACTTGCAGCCCTGCCTGCTGCCTGGTTAAAAGTTGGCCTCCGGCTAACGCAAAAACAGCATCTGCCCCTTTTCAGGGAAATGAGGACCCTTGTATAAAAGGTTTGTTGGTCCATGTGTTCCCGGGCCCCTGTGTTCCTGGGCCCCCTTTATTACCGGGCCCCTGTGTTCCTGGGCCCTCTGTGTTCCTGGGCCCCTGTTCCTGTCCCATGTGTTCCTGGCCCCCTGTGTTCCTAGCCCCGTGTGTTCTCAGGTCCCTGTATTCCCGGGCCCCCTGTGTGCCCAGGCCCCTGTGTTACTGGGCCCCCCACAGTTCTGCAACACACATTTCCTTGAGTGGATCTAAGGTTGTAGCTGGTGTTTACCATGGTGATGCCGTGTGACACTGAGGCCCAGCTGGCCGGTGGCTTCCCAGGATGGAGAGTTCACACAGCAGGTTCCTGGCCTGGGCTCTGGAGACAAAGTGGCTTCCCTGTGGGAGTGCTCCCTCTGCATGTTCAGGGGTCCAGGGGACAGTGGGGGCTTCAGGTCTGCAAGCCCAGGGCATGAAGCCCCCAGCCAGTCTAAAACTGCGACCCTACAACTGAGGGCAGGGATGGGGGAATTCCATTGTCTTGGGGGTCTTTGATTGACACGCTAGCCCTGTTTAATTGATCACAGCTTCCTGGCTTCTTACTTATAGTTATCATTATTCCTAGGAATAATCTATTTTATTGCATCTCAGTTTATGATCTACAAAACACTTCTTAGCATTCTTTTGGAGAGGGCCTTGGAGAATCAGTTAAAAACATCTGGTCACTTGGAGAAGTGTTGTCAAACTGACTCCACCAGGTCTCACTGTGAGTACTAATGGGGATGCTGTGCACCAAGGCTCTGAAGAACGCAGCCCAGAGGTGGAGGGAGGCCTCCTGCCTCGCTGACCCCGGGCAGGTGGCACATGCTGAGGCTCTCCCACCTGCAAGACCTCTGTGAGGCCCTACCAGAGCCTATCCCACCTGTGGTGGGAACTGAGCTCACGCAGCCCACCAGAAAGTGATCCTGACCACGGCTGGAGGAGGGGGTGCCCAGCTCCACACGCCCTCTCCCACTCATCATCTCAGTCCTTCCTCTGGGCGCCATGCAGGCTGGGTGCCATTCCTGTCTTCAACCCTGGAATAAGATAGCTGTCCACCAAGCTCCTGGAGACTTCCCGGGGGAGCATTGGCCCACGTGGGCAGTGGGTGTCCCACCCGGGAACAGCAGCCCACAGCTCTGGGGCTGAGGACAATGCTGTTTCTGTTCCCAGAACTGCTTCTGTCCCGAGGGGTGAGCAATGGGGAGTGAAGCCCATGCCCTCTTGACCCTCTCCTTTCTGGACACTGCCCCCTGGCCACTACTGACATGCTCTGGACCATCTCATGACCAGAGGCCAGCAGTGGCCTTGGCAGGAAGGAAGGGAGAGAACAGGCCATTTGCTCTCATGGAATCTTCCCCAAAGTCAGCTCTGGGTGCCCAGACCGCCCTCCTTCCCAGGCCAGGTCCCATCCCACCTAGGACACCCTTGAAAGGGAGACGGGCTGCAGCTGCACCCATCTGCCTGGTCTGTGCCCAACAGTGGACAGAGTGGAGCGAGGTGGCTGGGGTGGGCTTCTCAGAGACGAGTCTGCCTCCCGCCTGCCCCTGACCACAGACTGCCCAGTGAGCCGTCTGGAGCCCTGAGCAGATGCCTGGGGGTTCATCTTCCAGCCTGAACGATGCTGTGAGCAAAGGCAGGTCATTACCAGGCTGCAGTGGCAGGCGTCAGTGTCCCAGTGGACAGAGGTAGCATAGCCACTGTCCCCAGAGGGCCCGCTGTCCTCCCAGGACAGCCCCGATGTAAGGGCCAAACAGGTGCTTCCCTGCTCAGTGTCTTGAGGAACTCCAGCGAGGGGCAAGGGAGCCACCAGTGGGCTCCGCAGCCCAGCCCAGCACCACGCCCCTCCTGCAGCCCTGCTGCCCCTGCGGTGCCCGCCACATCCCTCCTCCCTGCTGCCACCTCTGCACAGCCAAGCTGCCATGCTCATGGGGTCCCCAGTGGCATGTCTGTAGGGAGTGTCTTCAGTGTATGCTGCAGGTAACAGTCATTCTCAGATCCAGGGAGCTGCTGAGGGCAGTCCCAGGGGCTGCTGTTCCCTGGCAGGACACCCACTGCCCACGTGGGCCAACGCTCCCCCGGGAAGTCTCCAGGAGCTTGGTGGACAGCTAACTTATTCCAGGGTTGAAGACAGGAATGGCACCCAGCCTGCATGGCGCCCAGAGGAAGGACTGAGGTGATGAGTGGGAGAGGGCATGTGGAGCCGGGCACCACCTCCTCCACCCGTGGTCAGGATCACTTTCTGGTGGGCTGCGTGCGTGAGCTCAGTTCCCACCACAGGCGGGCAGCAGCCAGCTGGCCATGTCCACCAGGACATGCCAGAGCAGGACGTACAAAAAGGGGTCCCCTGCTCCCTGCTGTAGGCCAGGCATTTGCTGAGGACGCCATAGCAAGTGTTCACAGTGACAAAGGGCACCAGCTGCACCTGCCTGTGGGGAAGAGGAGCAGGTGACCACACAGGGACAGTGCACACAGCAGGATCACCATCACCCTCTGCAGGGAGGAGTTC